TGGTGTTTCATTGCCCAGACAAGCCTCTTTGTCTTATTGTGGCATCGTAGCAATGGCTTTCTTGCTGCAACTCGTCCTGTCTAACCTGCAGCTTAAAGTCTTCTCTTCACAGCTGAAACTGGGACTTGCTTACTACGCCCACTACTAAGCTGTGCTTAAAGCTGTTGTCCTGTGAGCCACCTATCACACAAGCTGTTAATTCTCAGAAACTTGTCCTCTGATTCAGTTGTGGCTTTGGGTCTGCCAGACCTCTTCTTGTCAGAGTTTTCCCCAGTTTCTGAGAGCCTTTTGTTTGATAAAGCTATGTGATAGTACCATATTACATAATAACACTTTATAATAATGCCACACTGTAAAGAGTTAGTAATGTATTAATACATGCTAAATTCATCATTTATAAAGCTTTAATCCTGCTTAGTATGTAGTTTATAAATACAGATTTGTTTATTAAATGTTTGCTCTTGATTGATAATCTTATATTCAGTATAAAGATAACTTTAGATCTTTATCAAGTCTAGATAAGTGAATAACCAAGTATTTAGATGTGGATTTACATATATGATTGAATATGAGCTCATTGTTTGCAAGTGACATTGACGTTTTATAAATATTTATTTTATACTGTCATTCATGGTTAATTCAGGCAGTTACCACTTGTACTTAACCCTCCTGTTATGTTAGTTACTTAGGCACAGCAATGATGTTCCTGGGTCAATTTGACTTGAGGCATGCCAAGTTATCCAAAAATGTAAGCAATCAAAAAATTCCAATGGACATGTTTATATCTCATTAGTAAATCCAATACTAACTATTTCAATAATAACATAACATAATTTCCCTAGGGATTAATAAAGTATTCTGATTCTGATTCACTCGATATTTATTGCAAATATGTTCTGCTTCCCCAATAGCTTTATAATTTCAAGAATGATTCCGTTATTAGTTGTATTTAGTTGGCCAAGACCAGCTTTAATTGACAGACTTGATGCCTGCCACACAAGTCATGCTATGACATGATATAACACAGCTTCCTAAAAAAAAGTTAATATGATATCAAACGATGCTATTTTTTGCATGTGAAAATGTTCTGTAACTACATTCAAATGCAAATGTTCTTTTTCTTCTCGACACAACCTCAATTGTGTTGTTGTGGCTTTTAAAGAATATACCATTTTTATTTACTTTTACACAGTTGTGAATGTACATTATATCACAACATTAAGAAAAACATAATTAAAAAGATTATTGCACTTTCTGTATTTAGAAGGCAGTCTGCAGTTTTTATTGCATAAAGTACCAATCAGTCCCATGCCTGGCTATATGCTGGAGCAAGAGGGGGCAACGCCCCCTTAAACAAATTTCCTACCCCTTAATTCAAACTTAATAAATAACAAAATAAGAAATAAAATAGATTACCCACAAACATATGAATATGGACAAGATTTACTACAGTAGCTGAAAAATCCACTAGAAAAGGCACAAATGAGATGATAAAATGGTAAATGGCCTGTATTTATATAGCGCTTTACTAGTCCCTAAGGACCCCAAAGCGCTTTACATATCCAGTCATCCACCCATTCACACAC